AAATGTGTGTGTTTACATGTGTGTGTGTGTGTGTGTGTGTGTGTTATTTACTGGATTTCAATAAAACATGTTCCAGTAAACAGCAGAATACTGCATGAACACACATTTTTTACCTAAAATCACAGTTTGTGCAGCGCAGATGAAACACAATTTATTGTCGATGAGAGCAGTTCTAACCAACACAAGTCTGACTGAGACAAAGACGCTGTTGATATGGATTACTTAACCTGTACACACACACACACACACACACACACACACACACACACACACACACACACACACACACACACACACACACACACACACACACACACACACACACACACACACACACACACACACACACACACAGCAGAACGTTGTAGACAGAGCTGCTGTTGGCTGTTTGCTCTTGCAGCATGATGACATCATGAGATCACTTAACCCTGTTATGTAGCTGCATGTCTGTTGCTCACTGGGCTCCGTGCAGTGCTGTGCTGCAGCTCTGATGTACATGTAATCACATTAGAGAAAGGCTTGTTTGTAGTGGTCTAGCTTGCTGTCTCAGAAATTAGTTTTTCACAAAAATAGAAACCGTCTGTCTGCAACTTTTGCTGCTTAATGACAGTTCAGCCTAATTTCTTCATGTCAGCTGCAGTTAATGAGTTTGTTTAATTGGGGACTCTCATGTTTAGTTGGGAGATGCTGAGTTATTATTAAATATAATTTCATTAAATGCTACTAAGCAACAAAACTTTGGCAGGTCTGATAAAATTCACTTTTTAAGTTCTTTTGGGTTCAGTTCAGAGCGGCGGTCTGTTCTCAGGCTTGCAGAATTATTTACCTACATGCAGCCAGTGAGTATTATAATCAAGACCCTGAGCTACTGTTTGATATACTCTGTGGATCTCGTAGCATTTTATTAATAATGAGCCAGAGATGAAGGGCTCTTGAGTTAAAATGTGCTTCTGATTGACGTATGGTGACAAAAAGTCACGTGTAGCATAGAAATAGTTGTTAAAGACCACAATTGTTTATCATATTTGTATGAGGAAAATATTTGTGCAGTAAATGATATAAAATAGCGATGTATCTGGCTGCTGCTAGCTCAAGTAGCCCACAGAGGTGTGATGCAGATGATGTGGATTCCTGGCCTTCTGTTCAATATTTAATGATACACCGTGTGTGTGTGTGTGTGTGTGTGTGTGTGTGTGTGTGTGTGTGTGTGTGTGTGTGTGTGTGTGTGTGTGTGTGTGTGTGTGTTTGTGTGTTTGTGTGTTTGTGTGTGTGTGTGTGTGTGTGTCTTGGGCAGCATTAGGTAGACTACTGATCAATCTAAGCAGTATGTTGTGTTTTCAAATATTGATGGTGCTCCAGGTTTAGTGGCACTCGGCACACAAATAGAACATTACGGTAACTTGTCCTTTACAAATAAATCACCTATAGCTGACAAAACTTTGCACAAATATTTGTGTTATGAGTCAAAACCAGAGAGTTGTATGCCATATTTAGAAAAAAAAGTTTTTTACTTAAATGTGACATTTTGTCTTCATAAGCTTTACCTTCTCTCTAATAAATTTAATCGACAACTAATAACGTGGTTTCGATGCGCTCAGCTAAAACCGGTATGCAAAATGCTCAAGAATTATTTTGAAGACTGATGATTTAGACTTATTAATCACTGATTTCATTTGGATTGTTTCATTCAAACAAGTCTTTAATTATTTCAATAGCATTATAATTTTTCTACTAAGTAAGACAAACCAGAGCATGTGAGAACTTTTTTATGTTAACCCACAGCAGCTACAGTAGTTTATCGGTCAAAAACGCTTTATTTTTTAATCATGCCTTCATTTCTATAGACAGATAAACTGAGCACCATGTTTACCTGTTGCTGCAAGAAGCATGTGATCTTTGCATCACTCTCTTCTCAAAGGTGCTAATGAATCATTCAGATTCAGTGGGCTGTTTTGTTGCATTTTAAATGTTTTCTTTTCAACTGTACACACGCACGCACACACACACGCACACGCACGCACACACACACACACACGCACACGCACACATGCACACACACACACACGCCGCTTTGTTAGGTGTTTAGCTGCCGGCGCAGTGAGTCATCTTGGGGTCACGGCTAAGCTCCAGACAGTCACCGTCCGAGAACGATAAATTGTGCATAACACCATGAGCTGTCAGCGTATTGAACAAACCAGAGTGTTAAAACTAAAAGTCTGACTCCAACCCGCTGGTGTTTTAAATTACTGCTGTGTGACCTTGGCTGACTGTCACACAAACCTGATAAGGGCTTTCATGTCATATTTTTTCATCTCATCGAGGCTAATAAGTTCAGGCTAATAAGTTCATCCTTCATTTTCTGGTTCTTCTCTAAGATGCACTTGCGTCTTGTCGACTCACGTTTGACAGCTTCAGCTGAAATCTCCTCCCAACACTTCTATATCTCACGCTGTCAAATAAACATTTAAAGATATTTTAGCTTTAAATTTGTTCTCCAATAAGGTATTTCATTGTGCCGTGTTTAGTTGTGGAGGTTTATCTGGTAAAACATGCCCTATAGGTTATAAATTGTAAGTCGTTTTGGATAAAAGTGTCTGCTAAATAAATAAACATAATAAATAAACAAAAAAAAGTTGTTTGGTCACACTTGGAACATTTTAGTTTTTGAGACCTCAGATACACATGTGGCAAAACCTTTTATTCTGGAAGCCCCTCAGCTCTTCCAACCATCAATCCATTCTCTTCTGCTTCCAGGCTTCGGTCGTGGGGGCAGCAACCTAAGCCAGGAAGCCCAGACTTCCCTCTCCCCAGCCACTTGGGCCTTCTCCTCTGTGAGAATCCCAAGGCGTTCCCTGACCAGTTAAGAGACATAGTCTCGCTAGTGTGTTCTTGGTTTTCCTTTAGGTCTCCTCTCGGTTGGACGTGCCCGGAAAACCTCTCCAGGGAGGCGTCTAGCAGGTAGGGATGGGTAGCTTTTGACATTTGAATCTATTTAGTACTAATTCCCAGTACCTAGGAATCGATACCGGTACTTAACGGTAACTATTTTCGATACTTTTGAGTGTTTAATATTTTAATTCTCTTTTATAATTAACTATATATTTTTCTCAATATATAACAATATTTGATAAATATCACGATAAATAACCTACAACTGTTTGTATTTTAACATCGTCCTTGTAGTTTTATAAGCTGATAATTAAACTGAAGCAAACATCTTTACTGTGAATTAAATTCACTAAGTATCTTCATTCCTTTTGCCGTCCTTTTTCATTTGATTTTTCCTACTGGGAAGTTAGAATTTCCGAGGAGAAAGCGAACGCACCATTAGCTGATAACAATGGTGGCAATGGAAGCTAACATATCAAGCTAACGTTATCTTAAACAGTTTATTTAACTGCTGGAGCAGATTAAAACGATGATGCCTCACACTTAGATCGTTGTCGCTGGTTTCATCTTCACCCAATCACCCGTCACATTTAGTAAAGTGAAGCCAAACTTTAGAGCGCGTTCATGTTCTTCTAGTCGGAAATTTGGAGTTCCGAGGAGAAAGCGAACGCACCATTAGCGAAACGGAAGCTAACATCAAGCTAACATTATCTTAAACATTTTATTTACCTACCGGAGCAGATTAAGATGAGGATGTCTCACTTAGATCGTTGTTGCTGGTTTCATCATCACCCAGTTACCCATCACATTTAGTGAAGTGGACCCAAGCTTTAGCGTGCGTTCTTTCTACCATGCTGCTCTGTTTACAACTGGCGACCGACGACATAATGCTCTTGCGCATGCGCAGCTGTCTAGGCAAGTTCTCGTTATGAAGGACGGGTACCGAAACGAGGCACCGTTTCAAATGACGTGAATCGGTGCTCAGTCGGTACTATGGAATTCGGTCGGTACCGTTAAAAAGTACCGAATTCGGTACCCAACGCTACTAGCAGGCATCCTAACCAGATGCCTGAGCCACCTCAACTGGCTCCTCTCGATGTAGAGGAGCAGCAGGTCTACTGCATCACTGTAGATGCAGCACCAATCTGCTTTTTGATCTCACACCATATTTCCCTCACTCCTGAACAAAACCTCAAGATGCTTAAACTCCTCCACTTGGGGCAGGACCTCATCCCTGACCTGAATAAGACAATGTACTCTTTTCTGACTCAAGACCATAGTCTCTGATTTTGAGGAGCTGATTCTCATCCCTGCTGCTTCACACTCGGCTGCAAACCACTCCAGTGATAGCTGGAGATCACGTTCTGATGAAGCCAACAGGACCACGTAATCTGCAAAAAGCACCAAAACCGTTCCCCTCAACACCTTGGCTGCACTTAGAAATCCTGTCCATAAAAGTTATGAACAGCATTGGTGACAAAGGGCAGTCCAACTCTCACCAAACGAGCCAGATTTTGTTTTTCTGTAGTTTCTTCTTCAAACATTTAGTGCTTATTCCTGAATTTTCACCTTGGTACTTTGTCATTCTCCATCACACAGAAAATGATCAATAGTAAAATTGACAAGATAATATTTTGCTTTTGGGATGTTTTACAAATTAATGTATTAACTTCATGAGTTGTTGCAGCCTTATTTCGAAGGGGACATTTTATGAAAAACTCACCCTTTACATCTTTTTTGTGGGTCTCTACTGCCTCTATAATGTGAAAAAATGTCCATTCCTTTTCTGTCAGTGTTTGGTTTTAGGAACTATATAACTAAAACTAGTTGTTTAATAAAGTCTCCATTTGTGATGTCACAAATGGGGAAAGTAGAATAGGACCACCTTTTGCATCCAAAAAAGAGCATCTGCTGTATGAGCAGCGGCTCTACTTTGAGTCCCTCCCGGATATCTCAGCTTCTCAGCCTATATTAGCTCGAGTAGTGGATGGGTGGGCATGGCCAACTCCAGTTTGTTTTCTTAAAGTGACAGAGCCTTGAAAGGTACTGGAAGGTACTGAAATGGGCCATTCCCATCTGTACCTGGTCGGCCCGGCCCGGATAGCACAGCTTGCTTACATATCTTGGTGGCCTGCCTTTTTTCAGGGTGCAACAAAAGACTGTTTTTCAGCCCTCTTTCTGAGGTGGTCTGCTTCAGGCTGACCAGGGCCAACACACCCACTGCTGACAGCAAATTCACACCTTCCATTACAGCAAGCCTCTGATTGGTGGGTCGAATCAGCCCACATGGGCTTAAGGTATGTTCAATTCATTATCATTCATTATCATGCTGATTACATAGAAGCTGAAAATGTATCTGACTGCATTTCTTGCATACCTAAGCAAGGATGTGTGGAATCAACCGGGCCAGGCTGGGGCCGACTGGAGCTAACCGGGCAGGGCCGACCAGGTACAGATGGGAATGGCCCATAACTGTCAAGCATAAAACTGCTGAGAGCGCTTCATGTGAGATGGATCTAGTGCAAAGAACTTCATAAACATGTTTTGCATCAACATTAGAAATGCAACTTAATTAAAATTGTCATCATATGTCCCCTTTTGGGGGGAAAGTAACATCCTAAAACTTGGCTTGTTTGTAGGCTGCATTTTCCAAATTCATCAGCTCTTACTTGAGCTTACATGCTGAGATAACCATTAGCTTTTGAAGCGTTTGTAAACATTGAAATGGAGATCACAGTGATTCATGATTTAGAAATAACTACCAAATGCAATCTAGCCAAATCAAAGGTTTGTTCACATCAAACTGGAAGTCACAATGATTATTTTACCTCATGATGCTGCAGGTATTTTTGTAGCAACACAACACAATCTAATTATTTACATTGTTTGCTATGTTTGGGGTCATACCATACCACTTTATTTATATAGCGCTTTCAACACGGCATTACAACCATACAAAGCGCTGCACAAAAAACAAGCAAGAAAACACAAGTAAAAAAAATAGTCAGGTAGATGGAAAATGTAAAAAGGAGCAAAAGAAATATAAACAACAGACTATTAACAGTAAAAGCAAATAAAACCAGTAAAATCATTGCAAGCATGTTGCACAAAAAGTGGGCTTTGAGGTGTGCTTCTGTTGTTGGCCTTTATTATTCAAAGCAAGCACATGAGAGGAACAAGTGACCTCCTTTTCATTCTTAGGCAGCAAAGGAAAGGTGTGTCCTTTCAGATATGTCTACACAAATCACACACCAACGTCTGCTCCATGCAATACACAATCATTGCAGGAATAAAGCAAGAGCATTTGCATTGTGTGATACCGGGCTTTTTGTGTTTTCACACAGAGGTTGGATTTCATTCCACTGACATATCTGCAGGCATCTTCACTTTCATCACTTAACCCCTGCATTCAGTGAGGAGGGGATTTGTTGTGCAGATGGTGAGTTTGTACTTGGTGTTACAAAAGATAATTAGAAACGGAATTAATTGGTTTGAGAAGAAGTGAGGTTTTTCTTGCTGTTTATGGAGACACTTCAACAAAGTAATCACATCATTTATTATAACACTTGGTAATAGTCTAAATTTGGACCCATCAAAGTGTCAGTCAAGCACCAACTCTACTAGATCCAATACATTTAAATCTAATAGAAATAACTACTCTGCTGACACTAATTTGATCATGGTCTCATTGTGTTTCATTTTTGTCTTCAAAGAATTTAGATTGATTGACTCTTAAAATAGATTTTCTCCATATTTGTCCTGTAAAACATTTATCATATTCAAAGTAGAAAGCCTTTTAAAGCTCTCATTCACTCATTATTTCAACACATTAGCTGTGGTCTCTAGTATGAATGAATTCCTTGTCAGTGTTTTAGGGTGGTAAAAAAGCTCTGATTCTCCTGTTTGAGGTAGTAGAAGTAAGGTAGAGGAGCTCAGGGGTGGGAAACTGCAGGGTTTGAGTTCTTACTCCTTAATATTCATGATATGCAAACATCTAGCCTCTGATTGGCTAACAGCAATGTGACTCTTAAGCAACCTTTGTTGGCTCTTTTTTCTTGAGTAATAAAAACAACAGTGATGATTTATCTCCACAAGTAACACAACCCTGAAGGAGTTCTGACGTGTTGTGGAGTTGCTAATGCTAACGGTTAGCTTCTACTAGCCAAGATGCGCTCTGCTTTCTCCTGGATAGCAAACCGACAACAGCTTTCCACGTCGTGAGCCAAGATGGGTGAGTCCATGATTGCTAACCCTGAGTGGCTTTTTATGACCCGAGTGTTTCCTTGTCTACTTACTATCGGCGGCTAACACAGGGAATAGACCCCAGAAGACTGTTTTCACATTCAGGCTGCATACTAAACGCAGAGTGACCAATCATGTTTCACAAAGAAACCATTGAACCATTGAACATCCACTTCCAAGCTGTAATGGGGAAAAACAAAGTTGTAGTGTACAATATAAATTAAAATGGCCACTATGCTTTTTAAAATCAAAATTGTCCTTCACTCATTCACTAAATTAGGGAAAAATAAACAATCCGTTCCTTTTTATTAGCAAAATTTCTTATTTTCGTATTGCTACAATGATAAATCGAACTTTAAATTGATCAAGCCTTGTGTGTTATTTCAGTTTTTATTTTTTTTGTCAAAACAAAATTCCCCTGCATAAATTGCAGTGATGCACACAATTAATATAGCCCAGCGCTGAAAAACAGACAATGATTTTCCCTGTATTTGTGTGTGTAAGTCAATTCATCTGCTGCACAAATCAACACAGCAGTGGTGGGGTGACGGTAGCAGAGGAGTTTAGCTCCCGCCCTGCTGCGGGAGGGTTGCAGGTTCGTGTCCCATCTGTTGCTGTCGTTGTGTCTTTGGGCTTTGGTATTATCTTCTTAGACCAACTTTAAACAATAACTTTTAAGTTGTATTGCTTTTTCTTTGCTAGCATTGGGATTGCTTCTTATTGACTAATACTTTTGATCCTGGATGTCCATCATGTGACCCATTAGGTTGAGAAAAATTATAATGTCTGGCAGGCAGAGGGTCTTCTCTTGAAATCTTGAAAGGACATGCAGTTTGTACTTGTAACATCCTTACTTTGCTGCTGTCAAGTTACTGTCTGATTCAGTTGAAAACTGGGCGGTAGGAAAGAGAAATGATATACTCCTAATATTCACTTCCAGATAAAACCTGTTTATCTTTCCTCTTTTAAAGGGGTACTTTACAACTTTTTCATATTTTAAAATCATTTTCATGGGCCAGTACATGCTAAAATGACCCTTTACAGGCTTAATGAAAGAATGCCCAGCCCCTATCGCCTTCTGTGGCCAGATTATTCCACTTGCAACTTGAGAGTGCTGGTCCTGTATGTTGGAGCTGACATATCTGGCGCTTCAGTCTGGTTCCGGCACATTTCCTGCATGTTTTGGATCATGAGCACAGCTGAGTTGTTTAATTTGTTGATAAGCCACTCATGTAGACACCAAAGAAGGTTGGGGAGACATTTCAGCTGTTAGATTAAGGTTTCAAAAAGACAAATGCACAGCGAGGAGATAGATTTTGCTTTTGGCTCTACAAACAGACACTGGGGGGTGCCAAAAGCAAGCTAAAACTGCCTAGTTGCTCTTTAAAGACAGTCTGTCAGGCATTCAGCTTTAGAAAATTTCTTCTTTTCAAACTTTCAAAAACATGCTAAAACATGTATATTAATATTGAACCTTCATCTGGACTCTTGGTTATCTCTAAACACTAATTACAACTGATTCAATTCATCCTTAATATTTTGCAAGGATGCAAAAAACTCACACCTCTCCCTTAATACTTGGAAAGTTTAAAAATAGGCAAAAACACAACCGTTGATGCTTTTGGACTGTGTGCTTTTTTTGGTATTTGTCCAGGATTTTACCCGTGCTGCGAGGTTTATTAAACAAGCCAAGAATAGTTTTGTCCAAGGCTTAAGGGACGTGGCTGGCATTTACAAAGATGGGTGATGAATGGAGCTTGTTTTGGCATAACTTTTCCTCACGATGTGGTGATCAGTTTTCCCTGAAACAAACAGCTGTTGTTGATCCAGAGTTATAGAGGGCTGAAGGAAGGCCGGAAATAATTGATGTGATAATCGGAGCGCTTGGTGGACATTGAGAGGCTGATTTGTACGTTCATAACAAACAAACCCTTCCGCTGTTGATAGTCAGTTTAAAATGTTAATCTTTGTTCTTTTTATTAACATCATCAAGCAAATGTTATATTGTCGTCAAACATAGCAGGTGGGGTGTTTGGGTAAAAAACACGTATAAATTAGTGTTCTAAGTGTGAAGACACAGAGTGCTCGGAACTCACCGCAAACCACCACTTCCTGTTTGCTTAAGTGTCTTTTCTGATAGATTCACATCATGTCTCTACCATATCAACGCAAAGCTGTTCTAAAAATGCCTCGTGCTTTCTAATCTCATCTGTGACATTTGCTCCATGTTTTAATAACATGTTTATTACTAATGTCAAACAACTGAGAAAACCTTGTGTTTGTAGTTTAAACGTGTTTTTCTTTAGAACGACTACTCGCTGGAGGAAGAGGGGGATGAGGAGGGACATGGGGCACTTGCTCCAGCCTAAACCCTTCTCCTTACCTCCCACAGTTGGTTTTATGAGCTTTTTTTTTACAGCAGGGAGAACAAATTACTTCACAGTCAGTAACTTTGACTGCATAACTGACACAGTTAAAAGACTCACAATGCATTGTAAATATTTTAATGGGACACAGAGAGATGTGAACTTTATCTCTGAGCTGCCATACAGATTTTAATCGCCTTGCCTGGCCCATATTGTATGGTCAAAGTCTAAAGTGGGTGCATACCTGTTGAGCTGTTTACTTCTGCCTCTGCAGGAGAAACCTGTTGATCGTCTTTCAGGCCGTTCTAGGTGTGGCTTTCTTGTTGGCCCTCTCTGCTCCTCCCTCCACCCCCACACAACCTCATCCAATCCCCTCCACCATCCCAACTCACCTGAAAGGATTTGCATACTGGCCGCTGATTGGCCAGGTTAAGGCAAAGCGCCTCGAGCCGTTTCTACCAATGGCGACAGTGCTGCGTGACTCATAGGGAGAGGACAAGTTGCTTCACTACACTTCTCCTTTTTCTGTTTCAAACAGCAGCCATTGCATTCTCTTGAGTTTCCTCCCTCCTGTTGTCCAATTTAGTTTTGTCACTGTGAGAAAGACGTGTTGGTCCAGTCCACCCGTCTTTTTGACAGCATTCTCCTCATCTTGGATTATCCCAGTTCCGCCTTCTGTTTGTTTTGTCTTTATGTTTCCAATGGTTTCTGCGATCGACACTTCGATTGCCATAATGGATCTTGTCACCCGAACCCTGTGTCTTTGAGGTCAGTGATGAATAATTCTCCTCTCAACCTGTTTGCTTGGCTGTTGAAACCTTTCTTACAGAAATGGTGATACAAGTCACTAGAAATGAGCTTTAACCATGTTTTCTTTAGTACTTGTGTATAAGGAGTTTAACAATGTAAAGTTGCTGCACTGTCTTTTTTAAAGATGTAATTAGTTTGAGCGTAGTGTGTTTCTTTGACTTGATTCAGTCTCCTGTAACACACCTTGTCAGACCAAAAGGTTTCTGACGAGAGCTTCAACAAGTTATTCCAGTTCCACTGATGCATATTTCTTTCCCACCTCTCACTTTTTCCATTTGCTGCTTCAATATCAAATCCCATTCATCAGAACGCTACATTTGCAGTTTAAACAGTGTAACTTAACTTAAATTATAACATCTGTTTTACTTAGATCACAGTGACATTTTGTGGAGTCTCAACAGTTACTTAAATAAAATGACAAGTATGAGTTTTGTGCACCTGCCATTTTGAGAAATCATGGTTACGATCTTTTTCTGATGCGCCTGTCTGGAGCATTTCTTTTACAAATTGTTGCCTTATAAGGGGCGTCGAAGCAAGGGCGGGAACCCAGTTTTGCAACCCACTGGCCCAAACCCACTTGTATTTATCATGGTGTGGTAATCAGTAATGACACACTGTTGATTTTTGACCCACAATGGCTATCCTAATGCTATGCTGTCATTTAAGAAGGTGCCCCCCCCCCCATTTTCAGTGACAGCTCTTAGTACACAGTCTGTCATGCACTGTTTTATGCATCATATCTTTAGTACAACAGAACAGATTGGCAGTTTCAGTCTGGCTCTTCTTTCAATACAAAGTCAACAAGTCTTAGGCTGTAATTAGATCATTAGGCTTGGGCAAGATGACGGAGACTTTGCAAGAGAACTGCATGACTGGAGTGAGCAGAGACATGGTCTGGTGTGTTCCTACAGCTTCAGTTTGCTAAGATCTGTAAAGGTGAATGTTTTATTCAGTTTCGTATTACAGGTATAGGCCTCGGGAAGATTAAATTTGTTGGTGTTCTGCTGGTAGCAGTATTACATCATATGGACCATGCTGATTCCAGGTTGTGGTCCTTAAGGATAGTGATTTTATTAGATCCCTCAGAATTGGCTTCAGCTGCCCCAAAAAACTCAATCCATGCTTTTTAAGTCACTGATTAGTTCTTTAACGGTCTCATTAAAGAAGAGCTCAGTGAGTTTCAGGATGTTTATTTTATTCATTTATCATGTTTTTATCCAAAGAGACTTAAATATACCTGACATGCATGCATTTGGTCTGTGGAAGGAACCTAGCCTAACAAGCCACCGTCTATATGTAAATAAATACTCTGGCCACAAACCATTGAAAAAAACCCAGTTGTGGGGCAGAATCTAAAGTTGTCTTTCAAACTATCTCCACATGAAATTAGACAGCGCTAGGACCAATCAGAGCAACAAACAACATGACCTATTAATCCGTATGAAAATCAGTCAGAGGCAGACAGTCCACCATACACTGTCGAAGAAGAAGCAAATATTTCTGTTTTTAAAATAAAGAACTAAAGTACCTCTGTTCATGTCCCAAAGAACAACCAAGTTGAAATAATCCAAAGTTGATGCCAAAGCCATTTCAAACAAGCGCCTTCCTAAGCTGACACCCTCTTTGGAGTTTTCTGTGTTACAGCACTGGCGTTCAACCCAGCAAACGTAGAGGTCTGTAATTGGCAAGAGCCCAAATTTATTAGACCAATGGTAGACCTGCTACAGGCTACAATAGAGCATAGGTATACCGACCTGTAGAGCAAAATGTTTTGCTATTGCTACAGTTGGTAGAGATTTCTAGGCTAGGAGGAACCCGAAAAAGGAAAAAAAAAATGCAAGCATAGGTAGAACATTCTCCACTCAGTGAAACCGCAGTCGGATTTGAACTTGCATTGTTCTTGTTGCAAGGCAACAGTTCTACAAACTGCACCACCAAGCAGGACATCGATCATCAATCGTATTAATAATCACCAGCACAAGTGACTGTCTCCTATGTGGCTGTTTCCAATTCATCCATCCATTTTCTGCACCCGCTTATCCACGCAGGGTCGCGGGAGGCTGGTGCCCATTTCCAGCAGTCTTTGGGCAAGGGCTGATTCTAATATTAGTTTTAATTCCCTCAAATAATTAATTTCCAGGCGCTGAATTTTGTCTACCTTACTGTCACATGCTGAAACCTTCAAAGAGCCTAATAACCTCCTTGATTGTGTGTTGGGAGCTCTTGATGAGACTCCACTCTTTAGTGCTCAGACTGGTTCCAAAAATAAAGCATGGCAACATTGGTAAACATAGCTTCACTTTCAACAATAGAAGAAGGCGGAGACTTGTTTTATGTCTATGTCAGGGTGGAGATACTTAGAAGAATATTTGGTTGTAAGGAAAGAAAAATAAGTGTCATTAGTCACATCACATGTCATTGGCATGGTTATGTCTAAGGTCCGTCAGTGATCATGAAAGTAGAATGACACCAATTGTTCCATAATTTAGTAAAATATTTACTAGTCTATTTCTGGCTTTAACAGTAATTTCCTTATGTTGACGTAGTTGTAAAGCAGCTTGTTGATTCAGAGCTTGTTGTCAGCTGACTATTCCTTTTACCTCCACCCCTCATCCATCCCAGTTCCTGAAGCAGCCATAAACCAAGAGAACTCATAGTGAAACTACCGTAGTTGAAACACCTTTTTATTTTTTTATTTTTCTAGGGTCACTTTATTTTGGTAAACGGAGAATGTTTCAATGAAAATGTGTCATCTGTTTCTCAAGTTGACATTATTTTTCCCAGGTCAGGTTTCTACTTTCTGAGTATTTGAAAGTTTCTGTCCAGAATCGGTGAAGGCCCACAGATTGGAGAACTTGTGACGGGAAGTTTGAAAGACTGGGTGGGGAAAGTTAATGTGTAACTTTCTCCTCTACTTTATTAGCTACTGTGCCGCTGAACAAGGCATATTCTAGATCTAGACCAGTGGTTCCCAAGCTTCTTTCCCCCAGGACCCCCTTTCCTGTGCACAAGATAAGCCTGGACCCCCAACCACAACTCCTACCTGCATGCATGCATTAAAAGTGACTAATTACAAACGTTACAGACATACAGAGTTGTATCTTATACAGAGCTTATATTGTACCATTGATTGTGTTATTGGGATTTTATTAGGAAAAATGTTTTACCATTATAATATTGGGAACTTCACAACCTCATTACAGACAAAATTGTGGGGATCATCTTGAGGGGTCATGGATCCCAGGTTGGGAACCACTGATTTAGAACCAGGTGTGCATTGTGTGGTGTGCATGCTACTCATAAAAAATAACCCTCCGTTGATGAATAAAATGAAATTGATTGAGCAACTGCATCTTAGTGTGTTGCAACCCTCTCATACTTGAAGCATGCTGAGACTGGCTGCCCTTTTCTCACTTCTGCCCAAGTTGTGATTATTGATCCAAAGCTTTTTCTTAAATCCAGGTTGCTTTTCTTTCACTCCTAAATGATGTCATCTTTAGGACTTTTATTCAAGAAGCAATGGTTATCATATTTCTCCAACATTTTTGTTTTTATTCTCTGGGAACTGAAAGAGTTGTGATGTAATAGTGATAAAAAAAATCTAATCATGTGACAAGAATTTCCTTAATACAGAGAAATAAACGAAGAAAATGTGGGAAATAATTAAAGAAAAATAGTTACAGATCGTTACGATTTAAACCAAATACACAACCATTTTTTACTGCTATACTATTAGATTTTTATGTAATTTGTTGTGTTGCTTCTAAATTAGATGATCTGTAGTGAAATTGTTATACAAATTCTGTGCCATGTAAAAACTACATTTAATGTGATTGTCAGGGCAAACCCCTCTGTTAACCACTGCAGTTTCCCACCTTAAATCTACTTTAAACTGTGAAGTATTTCAGTTCACTAGCTGTGCTTGCTGCAGTTCCTTTTTGTCTAAAGAGATGAGGTTGATAACATTCATCAAACCATTGAGCAGTGTGTCCTAAAGATATCAAGGTGGAAAGAAAAATGAGTGAGTAATATGTGGGCCAATGGGTCACACCTTACCTGACCTTGTTATGTAATTTCCAAGCTGCTCAATGGTCCTTCCTCCTTCAGAGTGAGTGTGTTTAGAGCTTAATGCTGGAAAGTACCTGAGTTCATCCACTGAGGTTAGGTGAAACAAAAAATTGGAATATGGTGCAAAAGTCCATTCATCTTAGACTGCGAGACCATCTAAAGGCTCAGGAACCCTTTGCAGGTGTTCTGGATTCATTAGCTGTTTAGAGTGGGACACTTTGAGTCCAGAATATTGAACCTTTACACAATATTCTAATTGTCTGAGATTTTGAATTTTGCTGTAAGTCATAAGCATCATAATTATAACAAAGAAAGGCTTGAAATATCTGACTTAGCATTAGGGCTGTCGCGGTAACCGCAAAAATGAAATATCGCAATATGAAGAAGCCCACCGCGCTGCATCATGGGCCACCGCGATTACTGAACTTGACTCAACTCAATGATGCATGTTGAGAAGGATGGCTGCACTGGTATCAACACGAAACGTTACTTCGCTCCTTTGGGAGCACTTTGGTTTTCAGTACGTCAGCTGCTGCGCAGCCAGAGTCCTTGGCCGAGACAGAGCTGCCACCAGCGGCAAAAATAAATAAATAAATGAACGCTCGGAGACCTGTTGAAGTCCCGGACAAGCACTGCTTCTGCAACCGTCCTGAAGAGAGTTTGAGCCGAGCTGGAGCTCACTCGCTACCTGCAGGAGGAACGCATCCACCCTAAAGAAACCCCCTGACATGGTGGGGCAACAATCGGGAGAGATTCCCTTTGCTCGCCAGAGTCGCACGCAAGTACGTGTGCATTAGTGCAACGAGCGCACCATCTGAGAGGGTTTTCAGTGTTGCTGCAAATGTTGCCACCCCTCTCAGATCCTCTCTCAAACCGTATATGGTTAACAT